AATTCGTAATGACGTACACAAAAAAAGATACATCCAAAAACCTACAGTACCAATATGAGACTAAAATCGAATTAATTCAAACTTACATACTCCATTAGTAAATGTGTTTCGGATTGCGATATGAGGAAAAGAAAAATATGTAATTAAATTAAAATCTATGGCATAACCTAAATAGAAACGTGGCTAACCACATAAGGAATCTTATAAAAATAACTTTACCTCGAAAAGATATCAACAATTCTCCATTCAAGTAAATACGTTTAAGTATAGGTAGGTATAATTTCAGGATGGCTTTAGATTTTACACCTCAGGATTCAACATCTTTCGATATATAAGCAAAAGCAAAAGTGGTATTCCCCCGTTCACATTCGTACCAACTTCCACTCACCTAACGCACCAAGGCGCATTCAGTCGGAGACTCAAACTGTGGATACATTCAACGCAAAAACGGAACGTTACAACCGGAACGCGCATTCCTTCCATTCGAGTACAAGCACGCCTTAGTTAAGCGAAGGCTATATTTTGGTTTTCACTAATTACGCGAGTACGGTCATTTTGTCTCATCCTCAGAATTCATCGTAACCTCTGTCGATATATGATCGATTTTAAACGCGTTTTTGTTTTGGTTAAGTGCACTGCCTTCACGAAGCAGTAGTGCATGTTACCCGGCATTAATCATTCAGTTTTATGGAAATGAACTTATTCACACATTCGATTCTGAAGGGGGGGGGGGGGCATACAACTGACCACACGAGCTTGACAGCAGTGCCACAATTGCGGACCCGATGTCTGAGTTATATGGTGTTTGCCCCTCTTTTATTATTTATAGCTCGATGGAAAATACAAAACTAACTTATTAACCAATTTTGACGTATTAATTTTTATGCAATAGTTTACGATCAATTAACTTCTGGTAAAACAAAAACTACTGCCTTAGTTTCTCTTATAAAAACTAGATATTAAACTCGTGTTTAACAGGTAGTGCAATGTAAATATTGGATTTGTTGTAGACAAAATTCTTCTTCAATACATTCTGACTTGAAAGGGGACATGTCCCAGTGGTATTCTCAATTTCAGTTTCAGGATTGTTGTCGCCAATCTCAACACGAGCGTTAGGCTTCAAGTTTGAATTATTTGATGAGAAACCACATTTTCCTTAAGGTTTTCGCCTGCTTATAGTTAGGCAGTCTTGAGATGGTCATTTGTGTTGCGCCTACATGTTAGAAATGTACCTATATCATATACCAATTAAAATAACACATTTCATCCTGATACAAAGTTCCCTAATTGAGTTTAGGTATAAATCATCTACACGATTTTGCAATAATATTGATTATTTTAATCTTTAAAATCGTTACAATGAAGCTTCAATTATACCCTACGGAATAAATTAGAACTACTGCTAGCTATACAGAGAGCTAGCAAGAGCTAATTTTTCACGGGGAAACTAACTCAACGACATGTGGGTAAACGGCGAGAGTGTCCCCACCTTTAAAACTATCATAGTTGTTCCTATTTTGAAACACGGTAAAAATCCAGAGGACGCGAAGTCCTATCGTCCTATTTCTTTACTGTCATGCATATTTAAAATGTTTGAACGTATGGTCAAAAATAGAATAGAATGGTGGTTAGACACAAATAATAAGCATAATCCTTGTCAATTCGGTTTTAAACGAGGATATGGGACGAGCGATGCCTTGACAAAGTTCGTCTCAGAGGTACAAATCAGTTTGGGAAAAAAGGAAACTTTAGGAGCAGTTTTTATTGATTTTAAAGACGCCTACGGCTGTGTAAAACTCCATATTTTGAGACAAAATCTATGTGATCTAGGCTTTCCGCCAGTGGTAGCCAGTAACCTCATTAACCTTTACACAGATCGAAAACTTTTTATTAGGACGTGGATGGGCAAGCTTATTGGGCCAAGAATGGTATATGAGGGCCTCCCTCAAGGATCAATAAATAGCCCCTTATTATTTAACATTTACACATTAGATATGTTCCAAATATTTGAGGATGACATCAAGGTTGTACAGTATGCTGATGATTTTGTTATTTATTCATCCCACAAAAATGAGAACATTGTTAAAGAAAAGTTGGAAAAAGCAATCAAAGAAATTAAGAATTGGATGCTAAATACTGGGTTAATTCTGTGCCCGGAAAAGTCGTCGGTAGTATTCTTCTCCAGTAAACGTACCTATAACTCAGGAAACATACTTTTAGATGATTCTCAGTTCAAAGTTGTCAAAAATGTTAAATATTTGGGGCTCATTTTAAATTACAACCTTAACTGGTCAAGTCATATTAGCGATTTAATAAGCAAATGTGAGAAATCTTTAAACATCTTACGCCTAATGACAAGAGTTGGTTGGGGGTTGGACATATCCGTGGCTTTAAAAATATACAAAGGTCTCACAAGAAGCTTAATTGACTATGGGTTGCACCTTTACGGCTCCGCTTGCAGCACGCAAATAAAACGTATCTCCGTTATCCAGAACAAAGCTCTTAGACAATGTATCGGGGCCATGAAATCTACTCCAGTGGAAGCCCTATACGTCGAAGCTCAGGAACCTCCGATATCCCTTCGCATAAAATTCTTAGCAGCCAAATATATAACAAAAATAATAGCTTTAAACTTGGAAGACCTAGGGCGCACTTTAACCAATCTGGCAATTGAGGACAACATATCACCCTATTGGATGAAAAAGAAATCACCGCCTTTGTCAGAAGCTTATGTTTGGGTGTCCGACCTGGAAGTTCCCCTGTTATTACAAAATAGACCTAATGTGTCCTTTCTGCAATATGAAACAACAGTATTGCCAACATTCTTTCCCAACTACATAGGCCACCCAGTCTATGACAAGCAGCTCTTTAATAGCATATTGGAGGATTTTAAAACCTGGGATGTAATTTTCACCGACGGGTCTAAGAATGAACTTGGAGTTGGTTGTGCCTTTTACGATCTTCGAACGAAATTTTCCCGTCAATATAAATTAAATGAGATATCTACTATCTTCACGGCTGAAGCAACAGCTGTATTACAGGCTGTGAAGTTTTTTGGTAGTAGGAATTCTTTTAAAAACCTTGCTATCATGACTGATAGTCAGAGCGTCCTCAAAAGTCTCAATACGCGGAAACATTACTACCTAGAGAATCCTTTGGTGACAGCAATAATAGCAGAAGCGTGCAAAATTAAGGAGAGGGGTTCTGAGGTGGTTTTTTATTGGGCGAAAGCACACGTTGGCTTGAAACACAATGAAATAACAGATAACTTGGCAAAATTAGCAGTTGTTAGTGGAGAGGTTATAACTCAGAATATACCGAGGTCAGATTTTGTGGGTTTTGTCAAGTCACATATTACGAACAAGTGGGACATACACTGGAAACAGTACTATAGCAATCAGATGACTCATTATGCAAGAATTCACCCAACTGTTAAGTTTAGCCCTTGGTACGCAAATAATTTCGTATGTAGAAGATACTATACGGCCATAGCACGACTTAAGTTTGGTCATGGAAGATACCCCTCCCATCTATTTAAAATTGGTGTTTTGGACTCTCCCGCCTGTTCATGTGGTTTTGAAAGCGCTGACCTTAATCATATTTTTTTCGGGTGCAGTAAAACTGAACAATCTTCCAATCGAATGATGTCACAACTAATCAATTGTAAAATTAGTCGGCCCATTAATATAACTTCACTGCTAGCCAGTAATGACAAGAAAATTTATGATCATCTCATTGAATTTCTTATTAATATTAAATTAAATATATAAATAGGTTACAATAACTAATAAAATGCCTTTGTCTTTTATCCTTTGTTTGCCCTCCCATGTATCCAGGGTCTAAGTCATGTGTGTCATAACTAAATGCCATGATGGACCTCTTGGCAAGAAGCGTGTGTCCCGGTATATCCTTTTAGTTAGCTAAAAAAGGTACAAACGTAGCTATATGGGCAACGATCCCTTAAATAGCTAAAAAAAAAAAAAAAAAAAAAAAAAAAAAAAAAAAAACTTAAATTGCGGATAGTGAAAAATGTATCTAACTTCAATTCAACTTATTTTACTCAATATTTTCAAAGGCAAAGTAGAAGTGAAATTTAGCATGTATTTATGCAAACACAGATCACTTTTCAATTTTACGTCTTTGTTGTACATGAATAAATTATTCATCTACGTCATTCTGGCGTATTTTCTTCATGTACCGTTTACATGACAATGTTTTCATTTAATTTGCTGCTTTCTCTTGAAACCAACTCATGAAAGTTTAGGTGCTTGGTCCTCAGTAACTTAACGTAAGATTTGTAAGAAGCGATGCATGTTAATGCTTTTATAAAAGAAGATTATAATTGCTAATGTTTATTCTACTCCATAATGTAAAAAAACGACAGAGAGATTTCCGGTATCCCAGGAAATAAGTATTCCTAAAATATGCGCATAATATTCCATGTTGATTCGAGATACTTTTATTCTCTGGAACACCTTGCGTGAGCATCCAACATTGATCAATGTCACTTCGAAATTAATAAATTATGAGACTAATGAAATTTCAATGTATATGGATAAAGTTCAATTTTTATATTGGATATTTAGAATCTTTCGTTTGACATTCCATAAATAAATCGAATGCCACACTCTACGTGATTGAATTCTTTGGTTTTTACATATCTAAATAGATTTTAAGTTAACTCGATGAACAGTTTTTTACATGCCATACCTTCACTTTATCCAAAGAGTATCTCTGCTTTATCTGAATATGTGTCTATGTTTGCCGTTAGTAACCGTCGGTAAAAAAAGTTCTGAACTCATTAAAGACTAATTTTAGTTGCGTGTCAAATCGTTATTTCTAACGGATTAATAAAGTGCAAACACACAGATATATTTCCCTTTTCTTATAGTAGGTACCTGAAGGCACTTGGAGATTTCTGAAAATTCTGTGGCACTTTTCCCAAGGTATCCAAATTTTTCTTACGGGCTTCATGCAACAAAACACAAAGGTATACTTACCAATATAGTTTCACATCCTTCGACTCATCGATGCACATGCAGTGAAGTTCATCAGCAAAAAAGATCACAGTACAGAGATAGCAATTGCGTGTTTTACTTTCAACTAGCGCTCTGGGATATTTCCACTTACCAAGGGGTAAACATTTGTGTTTGCTTCTGCGTAAATATATTGTTTGCATTGATACGAAAACAGACTCGCACCTTCTTCGGGAAATTTCACGTTTTCCATCTAAAGGCGAAACATAGGTACTTCTCAGAATTAATATCCATCAATTTCAGAAAATTCGCAAATGATGTTCACCGATAACGAAATATTCACAATGTACGGAAATTGCTGGAAGTTCTCACTTTATACGTATAAATAAATAATTAAGTTGACATTATCACAATCAATAATCAGTTTGCATGTTTAAGTTCAGTGACATTTACAAAACGGTAGTCGTTACCCGAATATAATAACAATTGTGCTTTTACCTGATTATTTCATGTATAGAGAAACAGATAAAACTAAAATTTTAAACCCAGCTAACGTGATATTGAAGCATTTGTCTTTTGTCCTATGACAATTGCACAATGTTTCAATTTTTTCAATTACTCACTTAGCCCTCGGAGCTTAAAAAAACGAATACTTTTGTATACCTAGGAAGGTGACCTGTTTTTGAATTTTATTGTAGTTTACCACCCAAACAGACCCCACGCTGCGCGCCAAGTATTATGTACATACAAGATCAACTACATTACTATACACCACCCACAAACCACCTGTCCAACTAGCTTTTTCCTTATCTGCTGTAATTAACGCAACACCACCTCTACCATAAGCAAAAAACCTCCTTCCAGTAATTAGAAATAATTCTCCATAATAACACTAGAGAAATACCAACTCAAATGAAATAAACCAATTCTGAACCAAATGAAGTCTCTCATATAGAGTGTGTCACGTCATTTTTTTCGGTGTTTAGACATAAATAACGTCGACATGGCGTTGTTCACATAACAATATTTGGTGGACTTTACTCTGTATTACAACGAATTTCACTTATGAAAACTGCATACCGGTATAACACAAACAGTTTGTTAACTTCACAAACGATGATTACGTAAACTTCAAAAATGTCAGACAACGATGATTGGTGTGAATAGTTTCAATGACACAAAAGCTGTAAAAAGGTTCATCTTCTGTCAAAACAGGGAATATCTGAAAATCCCTCTTTTCTTCTAGTAACTTTTTATATTATCCGTTCGGCGAAAAAAACGCGCAATTTTCGGCGTACTTTATAAAAAACAATGAATTTTATAAAATGTCAGTGTTATAAAAATACAATAACTTCGTACATCTAAGTTAAGGCATAGTATAGCATACGTTACTATTTGTATGCGTATAAATTAGGACATTATTTTACAAGCATATGGCGTAATTGAGGTTTTTGAGAGTTTTTTTTTTTTTTTTTTTTTTTTTAAATTAGGGTTCGCTGCTATGGTCATATCCCCTTTCAGCACAAACCATCTCTCACACTCTCCGCCCTATATATCTTTTATACATATTTATTTGCTTCATAAAAGCTAACGTGCCTCTGCAGTTGTCTAGATTAAAGTTTTCAGAATAATTTGCCCTTATCTTATGTGGTCGCGCGTTCCAAAACGTATAATGGACAGTTTCCCATTAAGTGAGCAATCGTGAGGGTTGTTCTACACCGGTCGCACTGTCGTGGATGCTCACGTTTATATATATGCTTATGCGTGATAACCAGTATGTCCAATTCGTAGTCGGTGCATCTTCACATTTATTTCTCTGTCCCCGTCGCGCACCGTGTACAGTTTACCAACGTTCGGCTTTATTTGCATTAGGTGAGTATTACACCTTTCCCATCTCTGTTGCCATTCCAGTACGCTTTTTCTTTCAGATACTTTTTCGCATCTGTAGCCATAACAAAGTTAACGTCCACACGATCTTTACAATATCGCCGTTCGAGCAGCACGATCCGCCTGTTCATTTCAGGAATTCCGACGTGACCTGGTACCCACATGAAAACTCTTTCAATGCGGTTCGAGTATGGGTTCAAGGCAGATTGACACCTTCTAGTCATAACGTCATCAGAAAATATTTGCGACAGATTATTGATAACGCTAAGGCAATCGGTGACAATTAAAAATTTCCCTTCAACAACCATGGAACAATACATAATCGCCTGCCACAGCGCATATTGCTCAGCAAAAAGTATGGAAGAGAACCGACATAGTTTCCATTCATGTGGTATACCATCGATGACGATTGCGCTCCCAGCACGCACGTTCAGTTTTTCCCCCATCCGTGTATATGATCTCATGTGCAGGATACTGGTTACAAATGCTTTGGAACTCCCGTAGGTAAGTATCATTGTCAGTAGTTTCCTTTTTAAGCCTTACCAGGTCTTTCCTTACTCTAATGATGGGCATCGTCCATGGTTCAAATTCTAGCATATTTTCTTCTAGCAGTATAGGCAGAGTTATATTCCGCCATTCAAGATGTTCGCAAAACCGCACATAAGAAGGGCGCGTGATGGTCGGACGTGTGCGATATAGGTCCAAGTCAACGTTAAACAGCACATTATTTGGATGATCCGGTAATGACTTGATCTTTATGATATAGTTAGCCATTAACTGCTTTCTCCTAATGTCTAGGGGAGGAACTCCCGATTCACAATACAGACTGTCCACTGGACTTGTAGGAAACGCCCCTATGCAGTATCTTATGGCAGCGTTGTGCACACAGTCTAGCGTTGCAAGCAGCGATTTTCGTGCGGACGAATACGCCACGCACCCATAGTCAATTTGGGACAGTATCAATGCCCTATAGATCGTGATGAGACATTTTACTTCCGCTCCCCATTTAGTATGTGCCAATACTTTTAACACATCGAGACGCCTGATACACTTCGTTTTTAATTGTTCGATGTGTGAGATCCATCTCAGTGCTTTGTCAAACGTAAGCCCCAAGAATTTGGCAGTTTCAGTACATCGGATAGGATTGTCGTCCAGGTAAAGTAGCGGATCATAGTGCGGAGTTCGTAGTCTGCAGAAGTGCACACATTGGGTTTTCTCCCGTGAAAAGGTCATTCCAATGTTTGCTCCATTCCCAACAATTCGATTGATGGCCGGTTGCAGTTTACGACTAATTTGACCGATTGTTTTTCCAGAGAAAAAAATGGCTATATCATCCACATACATACATCTACTGACAGACTCGGTTACATTTATAGTAATATCGTTGATGGCCATTGCAAACAGCGTGCAGCTAAGGGTGGACCCTTGAGGTACTCCATTTTCCTGGATCTTAAGTTCAGAGAACTTATCTTGGACCTTCACACGAAAACGCCGGGCAGATAGAAAGGATTTTATTAAAAGCGGTAGGTTGCCTCTTAAATTTAGGTTATGGATTTTTTCAAGAATACCATGTCTCCAGGTCATATCGTATACACCCTTGATGTCAAAAAAGATGGCAACTAAGTGTTCCCTTTTACGAAAAGCTTCCTGTATAGCTTGTTCCAATAGGAGAAGGTGATCGGTGGTGGATCGATTTTTCCTAAAACCAGCCTGACACGGTACATACAGGTTGTTTTTTTCAAGGTACCATTGCAGCCTATTATTAATTATTATTTCAAATAATTTTCCCATACAGCACGTAAGGCTTATTGGACGATAGCTGGCAGGATCTAAAGGAGTTTTTCCAGGTTTACGGACCGGTATAACCACCGCCTCCTTCCATTCATCCGGGTAAGTACCTTCATCCCATAGCTGATTATATAACTGTAGTAGAGCTCTTGTCATTTCAGGTGTGAGATTAATGAGCATTTCATTGGAGATGCAATCGCGCCCGGGTGCTGTTTTTTTTTTGCAATGTCGAAGCGCAAACTCCATTTCTTTTAATATAAATGGTGCATTATATTCTAGGTGACGTGCTGTAGCAAAACATAAATCGGTTTCCCTTTCATTTTTTGTTTGAGAGAAGATATCTGGGTAGTTAGCAGAACTACTCATATTAGCAAAATGATTGGCCAACGTGTTCGCGATCTCAAGGGAATCTTCAGTAGTTATATTTTGGGAGGTTTGTATCGATTGAATTATTGAGCTTTTATAATTTCCATTAATTGCTTTGATTTTTTTCCAGGTACTGTTCATATCAGTTCTTGTTGTGATACTTGATGTGTACTCATTCCAACTTTTCCGCTTGCTCTCCAGTACGATACGTCTGCTGATGGCTCTGGCTCGTTTAAACCCAATGTGATTTTCAACTGTGGGATGCCGTTGGTAGTTTCTGAATGCCTATTTTTTATTTTTCACCGCTTCTTTAATTTCAGGATTCCACCACGGAAGAGGTCTTTTAATAGGTTTGTCTCCCGATTTTGGTATGCTAAGTTCTGCCGCATTTAGTATTGACGCCGTCATAGTTTGAACACTTACATTTGCTGGAACCCGAAGACTTTCTCGAAACAGCACCCAATTGGCTTTATGGGCTAGAAATCGTCTAGCTACGGTCTTTTGCGGCATAATCGTGTCCGTTTCAATAATTATGGGGAAGTGATCGCTGTTGTGCAGGTCATCAATCACTCTCCACGTCAGTTTAGTCATCAATATGGGTGAAACCAGGGTCAGATCAATAGCGTCGAATGTATTCGATCGAGCATTATGATACGTAGCCGATCCTGTATTAAGGAGGGCCACGTTATCTCTATTTAACCAGTTCTCAACAATACGTCCTTTAGCATCATTTTTCGAAGAACCCCACAGGAAATTATGCACGTTAAAGTCCCCTGTCACAACAAATGGTGCAGGTAGTTGTTCGATAACCGTCTCAAGATCCTCAATATCCCAATCCTGATCTGGAAGGTAAATATTACATAGTGTGATCTTCATTGGCGTATTTATTCTGATGGCGACTGCCTGGAGTCTAGTCCTTAATGCTAGTGGTTCAAAGTACACTCCATTTCTAATGAAAATAGCAACCCCACCCGATGCTCTTTGACCGTCTGTATAATCCTTTCGGATCAAGTCATATCCTCGTAAAGAATATGGTTGACGTACCCGTAAATGTGTTTCTTGAACACACACGCACATAGGATTCAAATCATGTAAGAGC